CATGTCTACTATACTACTACGTTTAAATAGGTTGACTTGGGACATTTTTTTCGTGGTTTTTGTATTAGACCCGTCGTCCATTTATTTGTAAGTCAATGGTTGAGTTACATTTTTTCGTTTTGGTTAATTTTCTGCGTTTGACCGACCTACTATTTTTTGAACTTTTTGATAGGCAAAATGCGAAGGCAAAAGCCATAAAAAAAACATTTTGGAAAGTTTAAGTAGATACGTCCAAAAACACGTTTCAGAGTAAATATTTCAACAATTATGTTTAAAATCATAATTAACATCCGGCCTGAGGATTAATTTTCAATATATGGCTGACATAATAAAAATACGAGAATTATCACTAAACTTTTTTTAATTACAGACAAACAAAGTAAATTTCTCTCACTCCCAATTTTTAAAACAACATTTCTATAATACATGAACACGGTCAAAATTAACGATTGTTGTTTCAAAAATGGTTATAATTATATTTCACTTTTATACGTTTTCATTTGGTTATTTTTACAATCGCGAATGAAATGTAAAATTTATTATATAATCATAAAGTATGCTTTTGGATTATGTTTATTATTCAGCCAGGTTTGGGTTTGCACGTAACCATAGCGTAAAGAGATTTCATTCACAGACAGAAGTTTACGTTAAATCTTCCACTGTACCTAATAATAAACCATAATATTACTATCTAATATTATTATAATAAGTGTCCATTTAAAGAAAAACCTTTATTTATTGAACTAACCTGGCTACTCGATTAATTGGTACTTAAGAAGGACAAGGTATAGTTGGAATAAGGGTAAAATAAAAAAAACCGACCTCAAAAGTCATTCATCCCCTAGTTTGCCACCCTTAGAGGTGGAATATTTTCTTCAAATTTAAATGGGACCACTCCTAAGGTACACTGAATCCAACAGAAAACTCAAAATCGATTCACAAATGCCGAAGTTATCGCGTAACACACATACAAAAAACCATACAGTCGAATTGAGCGCCTCTTCCTTTTTTGAAGTCGGTTAAAAAAAGCATCTTGAAGTTACATTTTAACCGACTTCAAATAAGGAGGAGGGTTCGTCTTTCGTCTGTATTTAGTTTGTGTGCGTGTTATTCGATTACTCCGATATTTGTAAACTCATTTCGAGGATTACTTTTTGATGTAAAGTCAGATTGGGGATACCTCGGTAGTGGTCTCATTCAAATTTAAAGAAAATGTTCCACCTCTAAAGGTAACAAATTAGGGGATGAATCCAGTTTATTCAGTTTCAGTCACTTTCCGTTAAACGATCAATAAAACTTGGCGCGTAGATGAATGACAATTCCAATGAAAATAAAACACAGCGATTACAGATCATATAAGCAAACACTTGAGGTCGTTTATTTTGTGTAAAAGTTATAATTAAGTACATCACTTGAAAATGTACACACGCCAGCACATCAAGCTACACATTGACGTATCTTGTTCCGTTGCAATAGAGGCGATTTTCCAACAAAAATGTGTAGTCTGATGTGCCGTTGTCCGTACTTACGAGTGAATGCTAATTTACAGTGGACGAAATCTTGAGAAATGTGTTTTTAGAACTTTGAAAACCCAAGTTCATAATTACGTGTGTTTCTGAACCCATTATTAGATACAAAGAGAATTGATGACTTCTATTAAAATAGAAGCTTGTTCTCTACAGCAAAAGATGCTTAATGAATTGTTGTCAAGCTTAGCATTGCTGAATTTCGTTTTTATTTGGACAAGTCGGTTTTGCAGTAAAATGCAGTAGACAGCCAATTACATTGGACCTTGACCTCTCTGCAGATGTTACTGCGTGCCAATTGTAATGTTGCTTTTTCTGCTGTTATACTTTTTATGACTGATGATATCCAAAAGTACATTGCTAATTATTTAATATTATTATCCTTACAAAATTTAAGTACAGTATTTGCAGCAGTAGAGCGCCACCTGCCACTGCTACCTTACCCATTTCTGCCGCCAAGCAGTAATGTCAGCATGACTGTGTTCCGGTTTTGAAGGGTAAGGGTGCCGGTGAAATTACAGGCACATGAGACTTATCAACTTATGACTCAGGGTGAGTGACAGGTGGCACTGCAACTGTTATGGACAGGTGTGTATCTTACCATCACGCGTACGACTTGTACATCCCGTCTGTCGCATGACATTATTAAAAAAAGTGCAGTTTACTAACTCTACTAAGTTCACAAGTCGATTTTGGCTCAGTGATTAGATACCACAAAAAAACATTTTCTCGAATAAATATTTATTTAAGTAGGCATATTATGTTTTGAGTTTCTTAATGATTTGTTACCTTTTTAAGCTGACAGCTCTGCAGCCAATGCTCAATAGATAAATAACAATAATACACAACTCGTTGTGACGGTATATTAAGAATGGCGAGATTTTGTAGTTACAGTTTTTACACGAATTAATTTTTAGTTTAAATATATTACGTTTTGATTTTCGTATTTATTTGTTACCTTTTAAGGTCATGGCTCTATACCCCAATACTTAATAAATAAATAATAATAATGTCCGTATTGTCCTCTATAATAGTTGTGGCTCATGGTCTATTTCGGACGCTTGAAAATTGAGATAATTTCCATAATTTTGATAATTGTACCTATCTAATTAAGTATCTCGCTCGGCAGTCTATTCTATTTTGCCATTTACAGCGAAGTATATACATAGATAGATACGTTGACATTTTCAAGCAATTAATGCTCATTAGTAAATTTGTCAGTAATCAGATTCTTTTCCTTTTGAACATTTCCAATCTCTGTTCTTATAATGAGCTTCTCAAATGAACCTTTGTCTTCGCTTGATCAAATCATAAGAACGAACTAATTAATTCGCTATTTTAACTTACTACCCGTTAAAACAAAAAATAAAGATCTCCAGCGACCATACAGAGAAAATCGTAAAGTCTGCTGTCTCGTTTCGTAACTCAGTTACTGTTGGGTAATTTTACAAAAATTTTAAATAGGGAAAATTTTTCCGGATTTTTTTTTTAAAACTGGGAAAATTAAAAACATTGGAAAATATAATTCGAAGGCATATAAGTTCTTCGTTTAGAAGTGTCTTTTGAAGTTTTATTATGCGTGAATTGTAAAATAAAATTGTATAGCTAAAAAAACAAGTTAAAGCAAAACGAGATTTAAAATGATTGGCCAATAGCAAAAAAAAATCATAGGTAAAAAAATTATAATGACTCCATCGTTTTCGTTCCGTATGTAGTTTCTGACAGGTGTCAACTGTCAAATGTGGAAAAACACAGGACAAAAATATAAGAAAAATAAACGGAAAATTTTTCTGGAAATATGGTTTTTTAAAAAGAAATTTTTCATGACCCATCACTAAATTCAGCCGGGACAGCAATGACGCGGCTGCCTTAGGCGAAAATGTCGCTGGTTGGAGTCTTGCCGGATCGAAGGAATTTTTGTTAAAGATAGAACACTATCTATATATATGTATCAAAAAAATATCGATGTAAAATTCTTATCTAGGAGCCTATTACAATAGTGGTTTGCGTTACTCTTAGGCATATTTTCATGAATTGAGTTTGGGACACATTGGGCTACTATACTATAATGCAAGGCTATTGAGAATACTGCGTTGTAGGGTTTAAGAGCATATAAATCGTGACATTTAAGATTTAAATTCAACTCTATATCACTTGCAATAAAAACGACTCAAAGACCATTGCCAAGCTCTAATTTGCTCTTGAATTACGTACTTAGATAGTGTAAGGTTATTTGCAGATCAGGGATTGTTTTTGAAACTCCACTGTGATTATTTGGCCGCGGCGGTAGTTTGTAGCCTTGTAAAGTTAATAATTGAAGAGGTCCGTGCGGAGAGAGTTAATTTACAAAGCCAGTTAAGACAAATTTGCCGACGTGGCTTTGGATTATTTAATTAGATTCGGTAGAAAGAAAAACCTGAATACTCTTCGGGAGCTATTGTTTATTTAAGACATAAAAAACCCTCCCCAACAAAAGACACCGTCGCTCTCATTAAAAAGCGAGCAAAATAGTTCCTTAACAAGAATATTTGCTTAACAAAATAAATATCTCTGAGGGGCAATTTAATTGTTAATGTCGGCTTGGATGGAGTTGTTGTTTTAGTAGCAGAAAGAATGTTCTATGTTGTTTAAAGCAATTAAGAACAATTGTTCTAACTTGTCACTTGTGCCTTTGCGATGAGTTCACAGTGACAGATGGCGTTTGGGCAAGATGGAAGCGCCCCTAGCGGTGACAATAAGAGTAATATTTTGTATGCAAGTTATCATTAAATGTAGAGACGACTGTCATTGTAAACTCATTGTGGTACTGAATAACATAGTCAACCCATTATACAGCTCACTGCTGGACACGGTTCTCATTTAAGGGCATTTTAATAAGAGTAAGTAAGGCAACTCCCGCCTGTTCTATTGTAATAAACACGTCTACTATTTGGCGTTATTCTCTAAACACTGGGATGACTTAAGTTATATAATTAATAGCACACTTTTAAAAAAATGTCTGGATTAATATTAAATTTAATTACAACTTCTTTATAAAAAAAAACCGACCCCAAAAGTTCTTGCAATTACATCTATTTGTCAAGTTTTATTGACATCGGTCACCGGAAAGTGCACGAAACCGATTTCATCCCCAGTTTGTCACCCTTAGAGGTGTGGAATATTCTTCAAATATGAATGGTACCAACACTGGGATACTACTCTGTTTCAAACAAAAAAAGAATCATCAAAATCGGTTCACAACGAGCCGGAGTAATTGCGTAACATATATACAAAAAAAAAACGCTCTATGTAACGCGAGTCAAAATAAACCGATTAAATTTGTAAGCAACAGATAATCGACATCGAGTTTTTTGTCAATCAACGTGTGTGATCAGATAATATCGACTAAATGAGAAATATTAGAAATAGTATATAACAATAAGTAAATATAAGTATTTTCAATTGATAAAGAAGTGTTATTTCATCTTTTCGCAGGTGATTTTAGTGAAATGGAACGAGCCATATCAAAAGCTTGCTTCCTGCGACAGCTCAGGGGTGATCTTCGTGTGGATCAAGTACGAGGGGCGCTGGAGCATCGAGCTCATCAACGACAGGAGCACCCCTGTCACGCATTTCTCGTGGTCCCACGATGGACGAATGGCTCTCATTTGCTACCAGGTATGTGAATTCGTTTATAGTACCTACATTAAAAACTCAAAAAAGAAACCGACACAAGTCAGTCTCACGATAGCTTTGCTGAAGTAGTTGAGGAGTTGGGTAGTCTATAACGTTGTCGTGGTTGCAGCATCTGTAGTGCTAGCACGACTATGTGCGCGAGACTTGCGCAAGAGCGTCATAAGGTGCGACATACGCGTTTTATGTATATAAATATA